ACTATTCTAAAATTTTATTTTTGTTCAGAGAACAGTCTAAGAAAAAAGAGAAAATCAGGCCTGCCATAACCCGCTTTGCGACAGATTACTTGGATGTGGACTCCATTCGAGAATCTAAAGGTGCAATAAAGAGATTGTTTACTAGTGAAGAGTGGTTAATTGATCACCTCTAGAAGTCCAGTACTGGGCTAAAAGTGGACGACATAGTCTCAAATAGGAGGTTCTGGTTTCGATGTTCCAGTATTGTAGAGGCCACTACCCCTTTGGTCACGGTGTTAAGAATGGTGGATGCTGACAAGAAAGCTACCATGGGCATCCTTTATGAAAGTATCGAGAGGGCCAAATCAGCTATTGGGGAGAAGTGTAGTTTTGCTAGTAAAGTGATCGAGATTACAGAAAGAAGGTGGAACAATAAATTTGGACATCCAATTCATTATGCAGGTAAATATATATTTATATCATTAGAATGTTTCATTTTAAATTATTTTTTTATGAAATTTTAAATGACATTTCTCTATCTATATATTTTCCAGGTTACTACTTCAACCCAAAATTTTTCTATTTGACACCTGAACATCCACACAAGATTATGAAAGGGGTCAGATACATTATTGTCAGGTTGGAGAGAAGCCATCGAAACCAGGTAGCAGCAATACAAGAGATATTATTTAATATTTCGGTAAGAACTTGATTGAGTTGTTATATTTGTGAGGAATAATGCACTAAAACAAAATATTTTGTTTTAGCTTGCTATATATAGGGATGCTATAGGATCCTTCGGAACTAGACTTGCCAGGAATTGTCCAACTATGATGGATCTAGGTTATCCCCTAACTAATATTTTGTTCATTCATATATTTAATCTTATGAATTGTTATTGCCCTTACAATGTTTTTTACATTTTAATTCAGCTGAATGGTGGGAGATATATGGTAGTGATGCACCTCACTTAAAGATGATAGCAATCAAGGTGCTCTCCCAGACATGTTCTGCTACTGGCTGTGAGCGAAATTGTAGTACGTTCCAATGGTTGCACACTACTAGAAGGAATCGCTTCGCTTCGGAGGAGCTTCATAAACTAGTCTACGTTCATTACAACTTAAACCTTCGAGAGCGACAAGTGAGAAGGACGCTTGAAGACTATGGGCCGATAGACTTAAACACAATATTTGTCACAGACACAACAGAACAATGGGTAGTAGAAGAAGAGGAGCCAGTGTTGCACAAGAGTGCGTTCCTTGAGGCTATCTGTGAGGAAGATCTTGAAGAAGGTGATGAGCAACATGAGAGAGGAAGCAGCCCGCCAACATATCCACAATTCGTCAGGGATGTCGTTGATATTGCATCTAATGAGGGAGAGTGGGAAGGGGGTCTAAGGGAAAATGAGAGAGATGATGATTTTGAGGCCACCGAATCCCTGCCAAATTATTCACAAATCGCGTCCCAACAACAAGAGGGTAGGGATGAATACGATAGTGTAGGTAAGCATGAAGGATGGACAAGCTTCAAGGATTTTGGATTAGGACCACAACAAAACAATAACACTCAGGAATTTGGGTATAGTCAGGTGCCCACTAATTTGGATGATTCGTTTTTAGATCGAGTCAATGAATTGCTACGCGAATTCAATCAATGGCACGAGCGTGACCAAGATGAATAACGACGTTGTCTGTCATTTTATTTTTAGATCGTATGTTACGAATTGTATGCTTTATTGTAGTTCATGTATGATGATATACTTAATCCATGATAATTCTATGTTTATCCTTTTGTGCGATGTAAATTAAAATGGTAAAATAGT